CATGAACATATGTTTCTAGCTATTCATCTGTTGGTACGTGCGACCGCTGTAGGTCGAATGCGTTCCTTTCCTCGAGATCTTTGGGCAGACGATTCGAGTATTTCTCGAAATCCGGTTGACCGATCAGCAACCGAGATGGAAATCTGTGCTATTTCGATATCAGATCAACCCACCACAAACGGTCAATCCACTATAGATCTCATCTTCACCAGACACATTCAGTACCAAGAAATTCTTACAAATATCACCTATTTCAGCCATCACCGAGCAATACTCACTATTCTAGAATAAGCTCATCAACCAGAACACATTTCTAGAAAAAATAAGATTGAATAAACGATTTATATCATTCCGTCACAACCGCAGACGCGTGTCCCACGTGAACCCCTGGTTCGGCTTCCAGCCGAACCTGCTCGGAATTTTGGAAATCGCTTCGGCGACCAACTTCAGAGAGCTGTATCTCCGGAACGGTTGGTCGCAGAGCGACGATCGAAGGCGCGTTGGAAAGCTGAGTCTGAGAGTTTTCATTCGCGCTCAGATCGGAAAAAAAAGATTACTCGGGACGGAGATATTTTGACCACCACTGTATATGACGATTTTTGTAAATCGGAAACTATATCGACAATATCGCTGATTTTTTTTCTGCGGACTGTTTTCCGCGAAAAAACACTGTGTGCGAAGTTTCGGAGTGGCTGCTCAACTGTAGGTATGTTTAAGTACCCGAAAATCCTTTTTTCATTGAATAAGCCCAATTGGATTCTACCACCATTCGGCTTGCGGAGGCTCCATCTAGAGGACGGTATGAAGAGGCGTCAGAGTACCCCGGTGAGATCATTCCAGATATCTGGCGACTGACTCATGGATATCCAAAGCAGGGCTCCGGAATGCTCATTAGTGGGCTAGTTTCTGCGAGCCTCGGATAAGTGGACACCATGATACCATGACTCCTCTGCGTAGTGGGAAATTCCTTATCGCGCTAGGGTCCGATGCTGCGGCTGAGCCCGAGTCCGCCGTCTACCCATGCTCATGTGATTACATCATGGCGGTGGTTCCTCGGCTACACAGCGACTTTCTTCGGCTCCGTACGACCAACAGCTCTCTAGGTGGAAAGCTCCGCAAGCCGAATGGTGGTAGAATTCCATTGGGCTAACTCAATGAAAAAAGGGTTTTCGGGTACTTGAACATACTTACAGTTGAGCAGCCACTCTGAAACTTCGCACATAGCCTTATTTCGCGGAAAACCGTCCGCAGAAGAAAAATCAGCGATTTTGTCGATATAGTTTTCGATATACAAAAATCGTCATATGTCTCCGTCCCGAGTGATCCTTTTTCCGATCTGACTAGCGCAAATGAAAGCTCTCAGACTCAGCTTTCCAACGCGCCTTCGATCGTCGCCCTGCGACCAACCGTTCCTGAGATACAGCTCTCTGAAGCTGGTCGCCGAAGCGATTTCCAGAAAGGGGCACATTTCCTGCGAGACCCTTTCCTTCGATTCCTCTTCGAATGCGGAGAGAATGCGAGCAATCGGAGCTTCTCAGTTAGTACCTAAATTGAGAATATAATAATCAAGCTCGTACTCGCTCCCGAATCCCTCTTCATTTCGTGTGATATGTACTCCTCACGTTTTCGCCTTCTCACTCCCTGTGAGTCAATTGGTTTGTATGAGCTGGGAGCTCCGTTCGGGCCGAGAGCGTCGCGCCGCGAGTGTGTGGTCCGCCGAAAAACGCTGTGGCGTTCGTCGCCGTCGTCTATTTTCCCGCCTGACGCCGCCACCGCGGAGAACCCTACGGCGCACAGCTCTGCTACCGATCCATAAAGAGCTCCGGGAACATCGACGTCGGCACCACCGGAAGATGCAGCCCGGGTCCTCACGCCTGTGAAAACGCTTTTCCCGTGGCCGAAAGCTGGACCTCGTAGATCGACTTGGAGAGATCGGCCGAGAAGATCGGCCGCAATACTGACCGACGATGCTGTGCGAGCAGCCCTTGTCGAGGAGCGGAATCGAAGCGCAAGTCGTGAACGAAGACGAAGCGACCCTACTTCGGAGGAGGAGGAGCGTAAAGTTATCATTGATAACTTATCAATCAGTCCTTGTCGGAGAAGCTTGATGATTATATCTTTGCTCTCCGGCGATTATCTTATGAGAATCTATCCCCGAATAAATGGACAGGAACGCCCTGAAACCCCAACAAGGGACATTTCATTGACATGAGCTCGTTTTCCTCACGGTACCGCTTCGGTTCCAAGATGCCCCGCATGCGAGGCTCACAGGTACTGAAACAGATGATCACCTGAGACTCTGGCAGTCCACAAAGGAAGCCACCGAACTTGATTCTGTCCCTGCGCGGTTGCAGTCCTTGGGGGTCTCAACGTGGAACCCAGAATGGGTCGATTTAGATGGGTTGAAGATGGCTCAACTGCGGAAAGAAAGGCGAGTCGGGTGCTAACATGCCCCAGTCTGCCCTACTGTTTCTCTGACTTGTCCCAGCGTTACGACTGTGTCTTGGGTTGGGCATTGAATCCATCGAAACCGATCAGAAACAACTTCCGCGTCTCGTTTCCCGCGTCCCGCGTTGAGAGAAGACCAACGATCACGTTAGACCTTTGGAATCATGTAAGCATGACGTGACACTTTCCGGGAGTTTAGAATATGGGATCATAATAATCGAATTCTACACAAACACCGAACGGAATTCTACCATCTGATGCGACCGCGCAATGCATTGCTTCCGACGACGCCGACGATCATGGCGTCGACAACTACCAAAGACTTCTCCTCGAGCAATAGCATGACGTTGCCGCCGTCGAGAGCTCGGATCCAACCAATTGTTGCATCGAGGGCTAAAGCTAGAAGACTCTACCGTTATCGACTCCGTTCAGAACACTGCAACTCGAACACGCGCTATCGGTGGACTCGTGCTTGGCTCGAATCGAATCATAGGAAGGAGTCACACGCTCCACGCAGCAACCGTTTTAGCACGGAGACGTAGTTCCCCCTCATGCCACAGATTCGAAGTGCTTGTCATAGAATGGAAGACGTGTGTTCCCTTAGCGCACGCTTAAAACTCGGAGTGTGTTCGAGCCTAATGTAAAGCGGACTCCCTTAGCGGCAGTGCTGCGTGAACACTTCAGTCGCAGCAAGTCGCCCGAAAATGAGACTACCAAATAGGAAAATAGAGTCGGAGGACGTCGCGCAACATCTCGCGATGGCAGGTAACCATCCTGAAACTGCAAACCTCAGCCATAGCAACACGTTCGAAAGGCTCAGCTCAGAGTGTGAGCCGGAGACAGACGTGTCTTCTCTTAGCTCGGGCTACCTCTTCCCATACCCCGTACAGCTCTACGATCGCCCAACGTGTACCAAAAGCCGAACTTACTCCACATGTAAGCGTTCTAATTGGACTCCTACACACTCTGAGTGAGAAGTCGGAACTCGATTCCTTTCCCCGAAACCTGCCGTGTGGCATACGAGGAATACCGTGGACGCCTGAACGATCACCACCGACCAGGTTTATGTCATCGTTCCGGCCTCACCAGATATCGGTGAAGAATTCAAGGAACGGTGACCTTATAGAAATAAGCATTCCAAGCCCGTCCGATACGCAACTATTCACCAATGACGGCTTGGATCATGCACAAAAACACGTTTCGCAAGCAACTCTTCACCTGGCATCAGAATCGCACTCACACTCCGGAAAAAAGTTTTCAAATTGATTCGATGAATTTATTCCGCCCGACGTCGACGATATCGGACGAGATACTGACTCTGTGAGAAGATTCCGTCAACTCGGCACACGTTTGGATCGAATTTCGTTAGGAGTGCCACAAATGAGGTACAGTGAACTCCGCTCGATCGGTTCGCAGCTCAATCGTATCCTCAGCTGATACGGACCAAGATCTGAAGTCTCGAATGTTGTCTTCGGATTAACTCCGCTCAATCGGACCGTCGCTCCGCTTGTGAGGATTGAAGTCGTCGTCAGCCAGGTGTATCCTCCTCGAAAGAAGTCGAGTCGACACCACGCAAAAGGCTCAAGGGCTGGATCGCCCTGGTCTACCGTTCCGCGAAATGGGCGAGTGTGTGGACCATCGATCTTCTAAGAAAGCTCTAAGGCCTCCATTCACGCACCTCGGCGGAAACTTCGGCCATGCGAGTCGTTGCTTTTTAGCCGTCATTCGACCCGCGAAATGCGAGATAAGCCCATTACCGACTGCGGGGAAGTAGGAGCGAAACACCTGAAAGATTACAGGAGAAAACTCTGGGACGATGGATCCGTTTATGATTGCATTGACCTAAGGCTTTTCTTTCGCATCGGGAGGTTCGATGATATCCCGCTCTGGGGGTTCGGTTCGACGGGGCTTTCGCTTATGGCATGGAATCTGATTCATGACTCAGACGTGATTCCGCGCAATTAATTCCAACCAATAGAGCAGCCTTACACGGAAAATCCAAAGAAAACTTTCTTACCATGGAGTTTAACGTCATTCAATGGATGATCATGTTTCCCTCGGATTTCATCCTCTCGGGCACCGGCGCGGCATCGCGTTCGGGAGTTTCCCTCTCCTCGCTTCTCGTCACCCGGAAGCCCATACCGCCATGAATTTCGTTCATGTTCGTCGGTAATGATGATGGGAACCAGCAGCCTCCCATAGTCGGGATCATTCGAGGGTAGAGGTTCAGGTAGCCAAGTCGCGAAGATTGCAGAAGTACCTCGGCCGGCTCCTTCGTATGCGTATCTAATATGCTCGCGGTACGACGATGCCTCAGGTATCATAAGTACAGAGTTCCTTTGTCTCTATCGATAGATGTTCCATGTCGCAGCCTTGTCGCTCTGAGCTGAGCAGGACTTGATTAGAGCGTCAGAGCTCGTTGTGGTGGCAGGTAGAGCACCTGTCGCGTCCGAGATAATTTGGAGCTTGACCGGATATCATTCTTCAAAATGATGACACGACACACTTGATCCTCGCGTACGCCCGAGGCTTACCATGATGATACTGCAAAAATGTGTCTACTCACGGAGGAGATAGAGCGACTGCTCTGTACCTCGAGCTCTGTGATAATCATTGGTGACTTTATTTGTCCCCACATTAACTGGTCTGAAGGAGGATGCCTTGCGGGTGGTCATTCCAAGGAAAGGATACTTCTTGATTTCTGCATCTCTAACGGCCTGAAGCAGCTGGTGACGGAGATAACCCGGCCTGCCAGCGGTGCTCCGATTGATCTCGTTCTAAGTGCAGACGGAGTGTTGGATTTTGATGACGTTGTGGCTGACCCATTGAAGTCTGATCATTTGGGCATCATGTTCTCCTTTGACGGTGTTGTCAAAGGTAGCCCTGTGCGCAACGGACGTGATTTCGAGCGCGCTGACTACGCGGCGATAAAAACGTCGTTGTTCGCAACCAATTGGCAACAGATTTTCCAAGACTCTGTGACGCTTGACGACATGTACAACACACTGACCGAATAACTTTACTTCGTGGTCGACACTCACGTCCCTCCCAAAAACATGAGGAATGACCGTCCGATTGCTCAATGCATTCAGCGTCTGGAGAGCGCACGTAACGGATGCGCGGCTTCGGATGTCGCCGGGATGAAACGACTGCGCAAGCGACTCGAACGCTGCCTCACGCGACGAAGATATCTTCTAGAGACGAAGATTGTGGACTCAAGGAATGCTCCGAGATTCTCCAAATATATGGCCTCTGGGATAGAAACCAAAGATGACCTCGCAGTTCTGATTGATGTCTGTGGTGAGGGGATCACGGACGACAAATCCAAAGCTGACCTTCTGTGCGACGTCATCGAGGAAACGTATCTGCACGGGGGTACTCGACTACCGGTTCCGAACTCGGTCCTGTGCTCCCAGGGGCTACGGATGCTCGAGGACGTTGATTTGTCAGAGGAGGCTGTATACAGATGCCTGACCGCAACGAAATCGAAGAGAGGTATGAACCCAGAACGCTTACCTGCTCTCTTTCTCAAGCGCTCTGCACTCGGAATCTCGCTGCTTCTAAGCCTCATGTACCAACGCTCCTTAGCTGAAGGCAAGGTCCCGAAGGCTTTCAAAGAGGAATGTTTAGCCCCTGTCCATAAGAAGGGCAGCAAAGCTGATCCGAGGAACGAACGACCTGTCTCTCTAACGTCGGTGATCTGCAAAACAATGGAGAGACTGGTCGCTGATGCCATGCTCGGAAACGCCGAGGATCAGTGCCTCCTATCTGATCGCCAATTGTCGTACAGAATGCACAGGTCGACGAATGACTGCTTGATGATATTCATTAACGAGCTCGTGCTCCACAAGAATAATGATGCGGACGTGGACATTGTGTACACTGACTTTCGGTCTGTCTCCGAAGCAATGCCCCACCAACTACTCATCTCTGTGCTACCGGCCAAGGGGGTCGGGGCGAGAGTGACCAGATGGATTTCGGACTTCCTATCAGAGAGATCTTTTGTGGTAAAGATCATGACTCATGACACACTATCGAGGAGGGGTTCCGCGAACACGGAATGCCCACAGGGCACTGTCATGGGCAGCCTGCTGTTCTCCTTCTTCGGATATCAAGTGAAATACGTGCTGGATGGAAGAGTCAGCTTTTTCAACTACGCAGCTGACATCAAGTCGGTAAGAAGCATCCGCAGCGTTGAAGACTGCACGGCGCTACAGTCTGTTCTGAACGATTTTCATGTTTGTAGCAAAAAAATGGGACTCCAACTGTCGACCCACAAGTGTGGGGTGATGCGCGTCGGGAACCGCGCCCCCCTTTCTATATCAGATCGGTGATGAAAGCCTTGCGCGACTCGACACCGTAAGAGACCTCGGTGTTATCTTCGCGCCGTCTCTGAACTTCACCGAACACGTCACGTCGCTCGCTGCCAAAATCCCTCGACTGCGCGCCTTGTTCATGGGAACCTTCATCGTGAAAAGCCCAGCGGTGTACTTGAAAATGTATCGCTCGAATGTGGTTCCGATTCTTATCTATGGACTAGCGCTCCCGGTCGCCGCTTCGCGGCGACTCGGTATCGCTAGACTCACTACTGATGCGCTGGCTCCGAGTGCGCTGGCTCCGAGTGCGCTGGCTTCGGGTGCGCTTGCTTTGGTGAGCGTCCCGTTTCCCTGCTTTCCCGTTTCCCTGCTTTCCCGTTTCCCCGCTTTCCCGTTTCCCCGCTTTCCCGTTTCCCCGCTTTCCCGTTTCCCCCGCTTTTCCCGTGCCCCCCGCTTTTTATTAGATATGTCCTCCGGAAAATCGAATTCCCGTCTTTCCCTTGATGAAATCTTTGATTCTCGGTGAGAGGACCACTCAAATCATTTTTTTATGGGGGGAGGACCCATAACATGAGAACGACGACCCTCAGTTGACCTTCCTGAAGCTCCCGGGAACCCACCCCTGAATTTTTGCGGCGATCGGTTCAGGCGTTAGTGAATTTCGCGAATTTCAGCTTTTTCATTTTTTTTCCGAGTTTTCGGATTTTCGTGGGTGGAGCACTCAAATAATTTTTTTAAGGTAGAAGGACTCATCGCATCGGAG